TGCAGTGCTTAAACCTTGCTTTAAAATCTTGTCTCGTATCTGCTGTTACTGACCCGTTATTGTGGACCCATGGATCTCACCTTGACCTCCTCAAGACTTGCAAATATGAGGGAAGGAAACCTTTATTATTACCTTCATCTGAGGGCTTGTGGTTATTTGTCGCCCGTCATCAGAATAAACTGTTTCAGTATAGTCTCTAGCCAATAGGTGCCTGCAAAGAGTCAAGTGCCATTATTACCCAAGAGGAATTGGAGTCGTCTAGAAATGAGGCAATTACATAGCACACAAAGTATGGAGGGAATGCAAATGATTACTCAGAGTATTATTAATAGTATTAGATTGAAAACTAGGGAAGCAAAGCTGCTGGGTGGGGAATTCTGCTGGCTCCTGATCCCTACTCAAACAAAGGGACTGCTCTAAAATAAGAAGGTAATTAAAGCCTACTTACTCCATTGCTATAAACTTATCTCCTTGTAGATCTGAAAGTAAATGTATAATTACATAGGCAGTATTGATCCTTTTTTGGCCTCGGATTTCTGTAGGCTTTTCCAGCGCTCCACGTGTGAAGTGGTGCTGCTCAGTTCACCCCTACTGATTTCAGATAGCAAAGGTCCAAGTGAAGGATGCTCTGTCTGAAGAAAGCTCTGTTTGTACCCATACGTGCTGCTGAACCATCAAATTGAAACGTGACTGCAGAATAAATGACTCTATTTCTACTGGGAGAGGTGCTTTGGGGTTCTTGTTAGCAGACCCCTTTGTGATTTGCCATGGCTTTCAGGCTCCTGTGCAGGACAGCACTAAGCAGATGCTTAACTTTAAGCCAGGTCTGTAGTCCTACTAAACCTACCAGCTAAGCAAGTCTCCATTCACTTTGGTTTGGGCACCTACCACACATTGCCCCAGTCCTGTTTCTTTTTAGAGTGGGATTTAGCACAATATAATTCCCCTCCCTCCCCACCCCAAATATTTAGATTAGATTAAACCAGGGCTAAACAGTTAATTATAGTCTATTTAACACGAACTGATTATAGTCCTATTGTATTTACACAGCCATTTGAAAAGCACCTATTAGAGCAGGTTTGTTTGATCCCATGTTAAGTATTACGGTGGAGCCAGCAAGCAGAAAATCATGGCTGTGCATTCTGTCAATGCCAGTGTACATCTGGCTACTCCAGCAGCAGCATCATTAGTGTTAATGTAGGCAGTGCTGGAAGCTGAGCTATTAAGGATTTTAATTTATTATTACTATTTCCCATTTTTGCTGAGCATACAGAGCCAGCACAGCCCCATGGCATGGATATCTTGTGCTTCTCTGGAGCTTCTCCCAGCAGAGAGCAAATAAATATAACCCATAGACAAGGAAAACATGTGAAATAGTATTGGAGCATTAAACATTCAGTGGATTTAGCCACTTAGGAAATAAATGAGAGAGCACAGTTAGCAATACAGACAGGTCATTCCATCATGGTTAACATCACGTGCATGTGTAGTTGTTCACGTTATCGAAGCAGTGATGTGATGCTTTCTCCCCCTGCTTCTTACTTTGGGGTTGAAAAGGTGCCTTGACCAAAATAGCTCTGCCTTACAGGAGCCAAAGTGCTGTTTCTTTATGTCCCCAGTGCCCTACAGAGCCATTGATAGTGAGGAATAATGCTTGGGGAAAACACTGAACTGAACCTACTTGTTCTTTTGTAGATGCAGTATGACTTCCTCTCCATTGGCTTTGATTCCATACTCCACTGTGTCATCGTACTTGGTCTGTAAACAGATTGAAGGGTTAGAATATGGGCTGCTATGAGTTCTGGCTGTTACCGAGTCGCCAACTGCCTCCTTTCCCTCCTCTTCCCACCAAAAATAAGTATTCTGGCAGTTCCAGAGCAAGCAGGAGGTCACTGGGCTTCGTGTTCTTTAATTAGAGGAACAAACTCAGCTTTGCAAATGCATTTCTACGTCATGAGCACAGACCCAGCTTTACCCAACATGAGATCACTCTTCCAGCTCTTCCCTTTCGTTTCCTTTTGCAAGACCAAGTGTCCGGCTCCAAATCCTCTTACCCTTGAAAACCAAGGGCACTGTGACTGCAGAAAACCTTCCCCATCTCCCAGCAAGAAAAATGATGTCTCTTTGAATACCTCTTTGTTCCTCTCTACGTCTCTTCTGTGCACTGTATGCAGTTTCCGTGGATAAACTATTTCATATTGCTCAACTTCAGGTAGCTTCTTGCTCGTGCTCCCTAGGGAGAAAGAAATGCATATTTAGGCAAGCACAGGATTAACTTCTTAAACACTGTGTCCCATGTCTGCCAGCACTGATCCTTTTGGGCTCTATGGTCATTCATCTGTTGCACCACTTGTTTCTCATGCGTCCTCTGCACGTGCTCGCCTGCTCTGCTGAGCAGTCACCATGTAATGACATGGCCTTAAGGAGGTTTGTTGCAGTGTGGGTTTCAGATGTTGACATACCCGGCTGTTTCCATGCTTCAAAGCACTTTATGCAATGCACTTGGGTTTCTTTCCCCAGCATCAGTAATAGCTGGTGTACAGCAGTTGGGAAAACAGGGATGTGTTAGTCTCTGACAAGGCAGCAGCAGTTCTATCTGCCTCCTAAGCTCTTTAATGTCCTACAAAAGGGCATTTCATCTGAGCTAGCAAATTCTGGAGCACTTGGCACTAAGCACAAGAGCCGGTAGTTATAAAAACCCCAAAGAAAGCACTAAGGACAACGGGAGAGTGCACCTCCTGTTTTAATTGTCTGCCTCAAGGTCAGGTTTTCACAGGGCTGGGGCATCCAATTGCTGTGATTTCCTGTATCTGGAACAATAGGGCACATCCTCATGCAAATTGTGCCATGGAAATGAACAGATTAATTCTTCAAACTGGTTTATTTGCTAAGCCCTTTCCAAAAGTAATTGCAGAATTAAGTTGGTTGCATGCTGACAGAGCTGAGTGCTGGAGTATGATAGTTGGCGTGATAGTATAATGGGAGTAAGTCCCAAGAAGTTGTCTTGTATCAGCTGAGCACAGTGCACAGTGGCTATACATGTACAGTACTCAGTGCTTAGTGATGACTATACATGTACAGTGCTCAGTGCTTAGTGATGACTATACATGTACAGTGCTCAGTGCACAGTGACTATACATGTACAGTGCTCAGTGCACAGTGACTATACATGTGCAGTGCTCAGTGCACAGTGACTATACATGTACAGTGCTTAGTGATGACTATACATGTGCAGTGCTCAGTACACAGTAACTATACATGTACAGTGCTCAGTGCACAGTGGCTATACACGTACAGTGCTCAGTGCTTAGTGATGACTATACATGTACAGTGCTCAGTGCACAGTGGCTATACATGTACAGTACACAGTACTTAGTGATGACTATACATGTACAGTGCTCAGTGCACAGTGGCTATACATGTACAGTACACAGTGCTTAGTGATGACTATACATGTACAGTGCTCAGTACACAGTAACTATACATGTACAGTACACAGTGCTTAGTGATGACTATACATGTGCAGTGCTCAGTGCACAGTGACTATACATGTACAGTACACAGTGCTTAGTGATGACTATACATGTACAGTGCTCAGTGCACAGTGGCTATACATGTACAGTACACAGTACTTAGTGATGACTATACATGTACAGTGCTCAGTGCACTGCTGTTAACAGTGTTAGCAAGCCCCAAGTGCAAGTTTGTTACTGTGATTTACAATGGTATATTTTATAATTTAAGCATTTATTTTTACTTATAAAAGCCTCTTTTGCTTTGCAGACTTAGCCTTTCCATGAGCTTAAAGCACATCCTTATGTAGCGATCCCAACTCTTTATTGTCTTTGTCCAGCTTCAGGCATTGTCTTGAGTCAGTGGCTTTAAAGAGGAGAGAAATCCCTTGGGCTTTGTACAACAGGTGGGAAAATGCTCACAAGGAACAAATCAGTTTGGCCTTTTCCAAGAGCCTCAACCGGGAAGAAAAATCAGTGAGGATTTCCCTGATAATGAAGGTTTGGTTTTGTCAAGAAACAAGCTCTGTAACACCCCAAGCTTTCCTCCTGTGCCCATCTTCAGATGTTCTGTGCATCTAATGAGATCCTAAAGGTACAGGAATGCCAGGGCTCCCTATAGCTATGGAACCCGTGCGTGCCAGGCTCTGCAAAGCTCTGTTCCCTGTTGACAGGAGCTGGAAGGAACAATGCACGTGGAAACAACAGCGCGGGCTGTTAAGGGTAAGGCAGGTGAATACACACAACCTGAAGTACCACAGAGCTGATAAGGGTACTAAGTGTTTGGATTCAGGGAATGTCATTAACCAAATTCAAACAGAAGTCTTTTGCCTCTGTAATGTATATACAATGCAAATGTCTATACAAATACTAAGTGCTGCCAGTGTAGTAAGTTGTTCCAATTGGATAAATTGTCCACTCGCTCACAGAGGAGGTTATTTCCTAACTGGCTCACAAAACTAACCGGTTCTGGGTCTTTAGGCAACCCGTGGCCAGTTTTTCCCCTAGTAAATACTTCCCTAACTAAAGAATTCTAGGTAATTGCTTTGAATAGAAAGAGAGAAAAAAGCAACCATCCCGACCTGCAGCAGGACCAGACCGCTCTTCCCATGGCTTTAATCCACTGTTGTTCTGCGTTATCTATGTGTTAATCATTATGAATTCATAAAAGCTGTGCAAAGATCCATAGCAACCACCGGTAAAGGGTTTCAAACCATCGAATCCATACCTTGTTGGAGCAAAGGTAGCAAAAGAGCAGCAAGAAATGGTGTGAGAGTCATCTCAGGTGTGCTTGGCCAGCGATGGTCGCGGTGGAGGGCAGCGCCGGGTCCCCAGGCTGTGAGCAGTCCTCCCTTGTGCCCTGAATGAGAGCAGAGGGAGCGAGTTGTTCAGCTTGATTCTTGTTCCTATATGAGGAAGTGTTTACTGAAGGTGTTGCACAACTTTCAAGTCACAGACTGTTACAGCAAGCGGAAGTTCCTGCTGGTTAGTGCATGTCACACGAGTGGTGATGGATTGATTACTCCTTTCAAATAGGTTCCCTGAAAGTCTCCAGCACAATAAATAAAGAGGGAGTTGGAGGGGTCCTAAAGTTCCCTTTTTCTACCCTGCCTGGTAAAAAGCTATGGTGGAAACAGTGGGTGCCAAGCGAGGAATGGGAAGGTTTTCAAGAGGTTCGGGGTAAAACAGGTACCTAGGGTTTGTGTTCAAGATGTGTTTCAGTTCTTGCTGTTGACCCTTTAATCTGTGTCTGTGAGTCATACTTGCAGTGTAAACACTGAGTAGGTGCTTCTCTGCCTTTTCTATATTAGTAATGTTTGCTCGAGGTCCATGTGATAACATCTCACTAAAAGGGGATGCAGACAAGTGAGCAATCAAGGTGGTATCTGTCAAATAATGCTCTGAAAATCTGTGTTAGAAACTTACCTCATGGACGTAGCCTGTTGTAATGAAATAGCAGTGTGCTTCTTAGGGCACAGCTTTCAGTGCAGAGCCGTTTTATAGTTTAACTTCTTAGATGTTAGAGCAGGTATTACAGAGTACATGGCACTAGAACGGATCATGCTGTATACTTCAGTATGTGAATATAAATCTGTTTTGGCAACACACATGCCAGCTTTATATATTCATTTATTATAGTCATGTCTAAATAAGTAACTCTTGAAGTGAGCCTTCCCGGGACAGAGCTGCAGCCTAACCCTCCTGGGACTGGAATGTGGCTTTGGTAGCAGCTCCATTGGGACACTTTAGCTTGGAGACAGAGCGAGCTTGCATTCTGTAAGAAAAGTCACATACCATAGGAACCCGTGATGCATCCCGGGTTAGGAAAGAGCACTTCAGGCACAGAACTCATGAAGCATCCTTGTGAAGAGGTTGGACATCGCCCCGCCAAGGTGTTTGTTTCATCAGAGAGGAGCTGGGTCATCTCTGTCTGTGTCTTTTTAGTTCTGATGTGATGAAGCTGAGTCTAAAGGTCGACGATTTGGTATTAGAAACATTCCATGGATGGAAATGAGCAGTGCAGCCTTGGACTAAATCTGAGAAAGATAATTAAGATAACTGATCTTTGGAAATGAGTGGCTGCTCCCCAGGCATCCAGCTCAGCTCATTCTCTCTGCATGATGCACTGGAAAGCCGTGTGCCGACCCTACCAATCTCCTAAACTAATGTTCTTATGAAGCTGTGCTTTCATACGGTGTAGAAAGGAGAGTTACTTTATGAATAGATACCGCGTGCCAACAGAGAGCTGGCAGTAAGAAGAGGATGGGATGTGGTGAAGGTCTTGGGTAGACCCAGAAGGGAATTGGGTGTAATTCCCATCTGAGACTTGAGCGGTGTTTGGTGTTCCTGCCCTTGATTCCATAACAATCCAATGGTGGCTTCTTCCCGCAGAGGTGGAGAGGGGGGTACCTGACAGGAAAACTGCTTCTGGCTCCTTGAAACCCCTTTACCATTGTGCCTTGTCTCACCTGAGCAGTTTGGATGCTCGCTGCAGGGTAAAACTGGGTGGCAAGATTGCCTCAGCATTCAGTAACTGGGATATCAGCGGGTTTGACTCGAGTGGGGTCTGCTCAATGGAAAGGAGGAAGCAGTAAGGGGTGGAATTCACCCCTACACTGAGGTTCTGACCAAACGCTTAGGTTAAGCTGAGTGTTAGAAGTGAAACGGTAGTTGTGTGCTAGGCAGTAGGCTGAGCTCAGGATTTGAAGCCCTTCTCTGCTTCTGCCTTGTCCTAAGGTTCACTTTGAACCGGGTTTACAAAGGTATTAGTGCACTCAAGAGGGATTTTCGGGAGTGGTAAACACCACATGGGTTTCCCCTCCTGCTTCATTAGGTACATGCAAGGACACCCATAGAACCATTACAGACAGAGATAAGCAGCTGAGAGAGATAACTCAGTCCTTCCGTCTATCTCTGCTTGTTCCCTGCTGCATTCCCCCCATCTGACCCTGGGACAAACAGCTCAGCAGCTCTGCCTCTTAGCTCAGCATCCACATCCTCTTCCTCCTGGGAGCAGGCTCAGGGGCTCCCACCAGGCCAAGCGTGGGGCTCTTGGTTCAGCTCCCACAGTAACCTGCCCTCCGCCCTCCTTCGTTTGCTTCTCCCAAGCTTCCACCCAAGCCAACCTCCAGGTTGTTTTTCTCTGATGCACAAACAGAACCATGGGGCTTTGGCACCTCCAGCCCTGTGCTCCTCCTTGCTTCCTCCATCTCTTCGCGGCTGCGTTCCAGTCTCCCCACAACCTGCCCCTCCGTGCCAGCCCCAGCCCTTCCCCTCCATCTCCATTGCTGATCCAAGCCCCATTGAAGTCAACAGAAGACCTTCTATTGCCTTCCAGGGCCCTTGGACCAGCTCTGCAATTCCTCTTTAAAACCTCCTCCTTGCATAAAGCTTTTTCTTGTGCTTGCCTCTGTTGTCTCACCCATTCCCAAAGTTAATGCTCCTGCTTTTCCTCAGCTACCAATCTCCTGTGGTTTGTCCTTATTTTCTGGGTTCCTGTTGAAGGCTATCATCAGATCACTGCTTTAGACCTATTTGGAGCACTTGGAAAAGTTATTTCCCTTCTACCTATTACTTGCCTGCTCCTCAGCAGCCCTTGGCTACACTTAATACAGGGTTTGATGCAAAGTGAAATGCTTTCACCTCAGCTGTGGTTGAAACTCACTCAGCAAGCACCAGCCAAGTTATTTTTGGTGTGGTTCTAGGCAGCTCACCGACAGTCATCTGAGTTTGACTAATGAAATCATCACAAACTTCGCATGTCTGTCGCCCTTTCTGGCCTCCGAGAGCATTGTAGACATGTATGGGTTGTTACAAGCGTGTTCTTCCTTCCCTTTTCTTCCAAATGTAACACAAGAAATGGTTGCTTCATCCTCTTTCTGTATCAGCCTTTGTTAGCTGCATTTTGCTCCGTTCTCCTGCACCAATGTCCTGCAGTACATAGAGTAGCAATGCCATGCAGGCTGCAGGTGCTGGAAGGTCCTGTGGGTGCTTGTAGGTACTGAAGGCACAGACCTTTGACATATTTCTTAACAACTTCTCATCATTTCCCAACGTGATGAAGGTGGATTTTTGAGGGTTCACGCTTCTCGGAAACCACGTTTCTGGCTGTGCCATGCGTTGTGCAATTGTGTGCACACGTAGGGGCTGTTTGATGTTCTCCATCTGCACAGCAGGGCTGACAATGCACATCATTGTGAATTGAGGACCGTGGGCTTAGTTCCCCTTTCGAAGTGTTGCTTCGTGTATTGTTTGCACTTGTGGCATGTGAGGTCTGGCTTGCTTTTCCCAAGGGACCAGGGCATCCTGAGTGCTGTGGCGTGGTGTCTGGCACGATTCTCTGCTGGCTGGCATCCATCCGGGGCTCTGCTTGCTGTGGATGAGGGCAAAGAGTGGCTCAGTTCTTAAAGCAGGGCTCTGGGAGGGAGAAGGCTGTGGGGACACCCACTTAGAGCTGTGCAAGGCAGTGTGTGCGCAGTGGATCCACACCTCAGACCTCCCTGAACTGAACCCCGGCTCTGCCCATCCTCTCCCTCCTTCACCCCTGCATTGTCCATGGAAGGCCCTGCACTGCCTGCTCTGCTGCTGCCCGGCCTTCAGCTCAAATCCTTTCCCTTTGGAGAGAGCTGGCGAGGCCTCCAGCATCCAGGCGAGAAGCAGGACTGTTTAACCTGGATGACCTGTCCTAGTGCCTCCAGTCTGAGGGACTCCGGCTGCTCCCCGCACACAGAGAGAACGTTTCATTGAGTCATCTTGCTCTGTGCTTGAGGCAGGAACACGAACAAAGGAGCAACTGTCCAGCCTGAGCTCCCTCTGCAGCAGGAGGTTTTTCCTGGCAGAGGGAACTTGATGTGGTTACTGACAAAGAGCTCCCAGTGTGGACAGGGCTACCCACCAGCCAAGCTGTGCTTTGGACCAGCGGGGTGAAGTCGCCTTCCTCCCCTAAACAAGCCCGATGGGTCCAGGTGTGGTTGTGCCTGTGTCAGGATGCCATGTCTACCACATCCTTATGTGGTACCCAGCACACACTGTAAATATGCTGGGCTTTTACATCAAATGCAGCTTCTCTGTCTGTTGCCCAAGCCTGTAAAGGGTGGTTTTTCATGCTGTTGTGATGTGAGCAAGTGTAATGAAAGTGGAAAAGGGAAAAAACCCAACAACCACTGATGAGCTGGAGCATTTGTGGATCCTTTGGCTATAGGGGATTGCAGCACTTGAATGTGTTTCATTGCCTCTAGTGTTATCTTCATTAAATAGGCCTTGAAAGTGCTTGTTTGACAACAGGCAACCCCTGGTCAGTGTAATAGGATGGATCAAGGGGTTGAACTGCACTGTTTCCTGAAAGATGGGCATCTCTGATTGGAATCATCTCATTTTACTTGTCCAAGCTGCTGTGCATGCTCCAGCTGCTCTCAGGCAGTCCCTGAGCCTTTTCTTGGGTGCCAACATGTACGTGATGTATTCGAAATGCTGGGCTGAGGTAAGGATTTGGGGTTCTTTTGCTTTCCTAGTGGGCTGCCTGGAGGGTGTTGCTTCCAGTGCTGGTACTGAAGGGTCCAGTGTGTCTTTCAATGCCGTTCCTGATGGGATGATTCCAAGGAACTTCTAAACAGCTCTGTTTACTGGGACCTCGTCCTGGTAGACAGGAGGCACAGAGGGCTTGCCAACTCACATGGTTTTATGAGGAGTCTCAGTCCCTTTATTGCCTTCCCTGCAGCCTTGACCCCGGGAATCATGTGAGCAGTTGGCAGTCTCAGCTTTCAGTCGTTATTCTTGTTATTGTACTGCAAAAAAAAGCAGTTTCCTAGGTCTTGGGGATCTTGAAAATCCAAACCTGAGCACTGCAGACTGAGAGAGCAAATAAAAAGGACTCAAACGCATCATTTATTGCTGTTAATCTCCTGCTCTCTTTGCTATTTGTTTAGGCCTGGCTGATGGTTTTGAATGCTTGGGGTTGGCAGTCGTGAGTCCTCACCTGAGCCTTTCCCTTTCACCAAGAAGCTGCAAGCTGCCCCAAGACAAAAGGTGAATTAAAGCATCGATTTAATCCTGCTTTGCAGATGGGGGAGAGTTTGGGATTAAGGATTCAAGGTCTCACAGGAGGTCTCTGGTGACATAAAGAAAAAATTTCAGATCCTCTAAGCAAAGTAACCTAGAGCCTCCACTGATGATGCTGCGTTGCTTCTGAGCAGCTCAGAGAAAGCTATTTCTAATGTTTATATATATATATATATAAAACACAGAAATATGTATATTAGGGTTAGATGTATATTATATATATATTTTATATCTATATTTGAAGGACTATAAGGTGTATAATGGATATATATAGTAGACATATGGGTATAAATGAGAGCTGCAGTGATTTGTTCATGGAGGTGTCAGTTCTAAAAGCATCATTCCTGGACCCAAAATACCTTTGTTTGAGAAGTGCCCGCTCCTCCTGGGATCAGGAGCTCATGTGGTGTGGAGCGTGCTCCTCCTGCCACCCTGCACATGCCCTGGGAGGAGGACAGGCGCTGAGCCTAGGAGAGAAGGAACAAAGGCAAGGCCCAGCGGGGCTGTTTGCTCACGCCATGCGCTGTTGTCTTTCATCAGATAAGGCTGTGGCCGCGAGGTGGAATATTCCCAGATCCAAGCCAGGCAGAAGCAATGCGAGGCTGTGGGACAAACTCCAACTGCTTGGGTTTCATCTGCCCCAGGTACGTACCTGCCCCTCGAGTCATATGATAGGGAGCTGGCTGGGATTCCCATGCAGAGAGAGCCTTCTAGTTCCATCCTGCTCCAAGGCGTGCCTCGTGCTGCAGGTGGCTTTTACCCACTGAGTAAGGACATCGGGGGAATGAAGGGATCTGCTGTCAGGAGTAAGTGGTGTATAGTAGGTAGGTTGTTGCTTAAGACATAAGACACAGGAGGGCTGTAAGAGACAGGAACCAACCATGTGGATGACATGGGGACGGGCAGGTTGGCAAACCCTTGTGTTCGCTCCCCATAACTGCATCTTCAGACAGGAGCACCAGCTTAGTCCATCGGCCTGCCCTGTCCTCGCTCAGTGTGTAAACCTCAGCTGATTCGGAATGTACCGACTTGCATTTATTTGCCTTTCTAAGCTGGAGCGAAGCCAGGCTTTAATTGATGTAACCCAGCCAAAACTGATTTACCACCTCTTCCTGCTTGCCCTGTGACTTTTGGCCTGCTGGGGTATTTTAATTGGAGGCAAAGTAAAGACGTGCTTCGAAATTACACTTGTATGGGGGATGTTTGGAACCGTCCTGTTTGAAGAGCACATCTGCTGAGTGCCAAGCCAAACGCACACAGGGCCGGTCCATAGAAAAGGCCCTTTCAAACGATTACCTGCAGAACGTAAAAGGAAGTCACATAAAACACAAAATTCCAAAGGCATTTAATTGAAAATCAGCATTACAGAATACTCTGTGTTTATTACCCGAGCTGCTAATCCACACTTTCCTCTATTATTGCTGGTTTGATCCTGAGAAAGCAATGAAAACCTGTTTTAAAGAGTAGGCTTAGTAGCATATGCCATAGAGAAGACAGCAAAGAGCAACACTTAGATAGCAAAGAATTATCTTAGATAATTCTAAGATATGGATTTTAATATATATATTCTATATGAAATATATATAGATATATTCTAAGATCTATATCTTAGATAGCAAAGAAGATGGCACTCCAGTTCAGCACTCCAGCTTAGGTCTGCACAATGGCAGGAGTCCCAAGGTTGATGCTGACAGGCAGCTCCTCGTGGAGTGACTCTGGTCGTTGTGATCTTCCCTTGTAGTATTGCAGCTCTTGGCTTCGGGTGACTTTTCCAAGCCACCACTCCTGCTCACCTCATTTAGTTGAGGTCCTGACAGCCCTGATAGTATCAGTAAAGATTCCCTGGATCCCTGCGCTGTATTAATGTGCTGGGAGCAATTACTTAGCTTAGTAAATAGTGGCGGAGATACTGAAGTGCTTGCTAATACCGTTCAAACACAGGCAGAAAAGCATTAGTATAAATGAGAGGTAAGACCTCAGTGACTCCTTTGCTACTGCCTCAACTCCGTTCCGTAGGGTGGTGGGTGATGGCTTTAAATCTGTGCCACTTTAAACAAGCCATGGCAGAGCGACTCGTGCATTTTGTACAGTTTTACCTGTTCCCTGTGTCCCTAAACTGAGCTGTGTCGTGGAATCACAGAGTGGTTTGGGTGAAGGGACCTTAAAGTTACCCCGTTCCAAAGCCCCTCTCCAGGTTTCTTGTAGCTCATGTACAGGAAGAAACATTAAACCAACCCCAAATTCTGCTGTGGATTTGAACGTGTGGCCCCTCACCTGGGTCTTCATTTATTCGGCATTTAGAGGCTTGGTTTGTGGTCTGCCTGTAGGTAAGGGAGGAGGAGAACACGCATGGGCACTGAGATTACAAAGCCTTTGGGTAAATACCCCATGAAATCAGTGCTTTTGTGTGGGGGGCAATGTCTCCAGTGGGTTTAGTTGGACGTTCCCAAGCTCCTTCCTTCACATAAGTCTGCTGTGGATTTTTGAGTCCTGATCTGATGCTTGGGAAAACGAAGGTGGCTTTTTCCCTCCTCTCTCTTTTTGTTTTCAATCATGAAAGCTTGGGAAGGGCCAGGATAACCTTGGATTCCGGCTAAAATAATAATGGGGAGCCAGGGTTTTGGGGTGTGTTTTTGAAGTTTCATTCAACTTTGGGGAAATATTGACCAAAAATAAAGTGGTTTCTTCTGAGCATCCTGGCCTGGGTGAGCTCAGTGCAAAAAGTGCCAGAATGCCCCAGGAAAGGTGGATTTTGCAGCATTTCCAAGCTCACCGGTGCCATGCGTAGTAAAACAGAGAGAGAAATGTTACAAGACTGGAGGAATAATATGTTTGGGGCTACAATTGCCCAGTATTCTACTAAATGAACTCTGTCATGTTTAAGGGGGGTTGTCAGCTATAGAACAGAGCACATAACTGAATAAAAACCCTTTATAGTCATGCTAAAGTCACAAAATTGATGGGAGATTTTAGGATGAGCCCTACAGGGAGATGAGTAAAAGTGGAAACAAAGCTGCTCTAAGGTCTTCCTGGAACCGTGTCTGCTCCAGGCTGAACAAGCCCAGCTCTCTCAGCCTGGCTCCATAGGAAAGCTGCTCCATCCCTGTGATCATCCTCATGGCCTCCTCGGGACTTGCTCTAGCAGCATGCCTCTTGTGTCGGGGCTGTTTCAAGAGCTCTTAGCCCCATTGCAGTCCAGTTACCACTGGATCCAGAGGAGCTGGAGGGGCTCATGGAAGGGACAGGGTCTTCCCCAGGTAGTTTATATCCATACTTTTTAAAGTCCCCAACCTCCTACTTCTTTATGTGAAAGCCAGGTACGCAGTTCCCATGTGGCTCTCTGTAGGTCTCTGGTTTGTACCTCATGGAGGTTTTCTGCTTGTTGCTAAGAGCAGTGCGGTGTGGTTGACAGCTCCTGCAGCACCCAATGTCTGTCTGGTTCAGACCGGAGCTCACAGCTCATTGCTGCTCCATGGCAGTCTTTCCAGGTTGAATTAAGAGTTGTTCTATGCCTTTGTTCTTTGACCATGCAAGAGCATACAGGGCAGAGGGGAAGAGCCTAAGGCTAGGCGCCTACTTCTAAGCTCACATAATATGCTTTTTGTTGGTGCCACTGTCTAATTCTATATAATCTTGTACTCTGGCAGCCCACCTTTATCCTGAGGAAAGGATAGTGCTCTTCTGAGAAGAATGGGTAGTAATGAACAAAGCAAAACGCTGCCTGTGTTAAATACACCCATTGATAGCTGCAAGCTGTGAAACAAAAGCTTTTCTGTGATGTGTGTGAGAAAACGTGGTGCTTGTGGTGACTTTTGGATAAGAAACATATGGCAGTTTACCCCCTAAATGAAGCAGGAACATCCCTGCAGTGAGGTTCTCTGCTCCTTGTACTTTTTACGTTGGTTAGGGCAGAAATACCTGCAGATCATGGCTTGGTTTTCACTCCCGTCCCCATTACGTTTTGTTCAGTATATCCCATGGCAGACTAGTGGGTTATCACCCGTTTTCCATCTGTGGAGCTGGAACTGGCATCCCAGGGGATGCTGCAGCACAGCCTCTCTGACCCGCAAGGCCCCCGGGCACGCCGTGTGTCGGCAGGCACAGTTACACATCCCTCAGGAGCTGTCTGAAGGTGGCAGTGGGCAGTGGACATGGAGCTCCCCAGGCCTGAAGCTCTTCTGGGGACCTCTCTTTCCATGCAGGGTAGGTTTTGCTGTCAATTCTCATTGAGACAAAGCCCTTGGACCAGCAGCCAGCTTCTGATGGGAGGAAGAAGGCGAGAGCCAGGTCCCAAAGACATCTGCCAAGATAACAGCTTATCCAAACAGGTCTGTTTATCCTGCAATTTGTTCAGTAAATGGCCCTGTCTAAATGGAATTTGATGGGAAGTTATTCCGGGCACTGAACATAGTTTACAGTATGTGCGCAGCTTCCATGCATCTCCCTATTTGAATGAGAGCAAACCTCATCCTTAGAAGGTATTATTGTTGAAATCTGCCTTATTGATCAATGCCACGAAAGCAAATTTCTATAATATCAGCATTTGCCAAAGATTTAGGCCAGGAAATCTCTGCTGCATCACTGCTATTTGCATTCATTAGCATCTCATTAGATTCACATAGTCTTCAAAAGGTTCTGGTATGAACTGAAGTCTTGCCATAGAGGTCAACACAATGAATCTGTCATTCTTTCTATTAAACTCTTAAACTTGAATCCCCAGTGCTGTGCCCTGTTTAAAGCGAACCCGGTCACTTTATACTTCCAAAGCTTCGGATAGTCCCAAACTTGGATAACAGGGGGAATAAGGGTACAGGGTGAAGCCATAGAAGAGCTTTTTGTTAGAGCTTGGTAGCCTGGTCTTGCTGACTTGCCTTCCTAAATACTGCCCAGAGACCCACCTGCCTGTATGGCAGCAGCAGCTCCTCTGCAAACAAGGCACCTTTGCCCTTTGGAATCCATTTTGGGCTGGGATGCATTTCCTGAGCGTTTTCTTCCAGCTTCTTGCTCCGACACAGCGCAGGCATACATGAGCACATGGTCCCTCACCCATCCCTGCAGTGCTCCACTTCTTGGGCAGGCTGAGCCTTTCTGCACCGCTCTGTAAGTGGCCATGGATTGGAGTCACCTCTTCCTTAGCTCTGCATTGCAAACAGGCACTGCTCGCCTGGGTTGTAGGAGATGCAGTGTAAGTGAGCTGAGGAGCCAGCGGGGAAAGCCACATGTAGGTACCCAGAGACAAGGAGGTTTCTGTGCATAGAATCATGGGTTGGAAGGGACCTTCAAGCTCTTCTAGTTCCAGCCCCCTGCTCACGCTGCTGGTGATGCAGCCCAAGGGCATGGGTGGTTTCTGGGCTGCATGTATACACAGAGGAGGTGTTCAGTATCTTGACAGAGGAAGTTCTGATTTCTGGGACAAAAAAGACTGAATAGGGCTTTTCTTACCTTTAGGAATGTATGTTTTATCCCTTGTCCTATGATAATTTTCTGAACTTCTCACTCATGGGACCAGGTAGCATTGAGGTCTTTTAACTGCTCAACCACCTCAGTAAGGCTTTTAGGCTCAGGCTTTTCAAAGAGTCCATGCGAATACAATGCCTGAATGCCAAGGAAGTGCAAGCTAAGCTGTAATGACTGGGGAGAAGAGAGGAGGGACAGTTAGGAGTGATTTAGAGGCCACCTCATCCTTCTCTTTCCCCATAGTGAAAGTAGGATTTTAGGCTTCTCATCATAGCGCACTATTAGAAACGTTACCCTCAGAAACTGCTGTTATTCGGGAATGTCAGTGATACTTGAGCAGGTCAGAGAAGACCAGCTGTGCAAAACTGAAGTTTACCCTCTCAAACACTGGGAGCCTTTCCAAAGGTGCTCCAGGCTGCGATTTCCCTTTATAGACAGGGTTTTGTTCAGTATATCCCATGACAGAGTAAAGCAGGGGAAGCGGAGGGTAAGATGCAGAAGTGATTAAGGAGTGTGAACAAAGGCAGTCCCTGCTCTCCAAAGCATTAAACGTTGTAAAGAAGTACTTAAGATAAGGATTTATTGCTGAACAGCCTCTCGGCTGTGCCTTGCCAGGTTTCACATCACTGACTGAACAAGCCAGTGACTGCAGATTTGCGTCATCAAAGCCCGAAGCAGTGTGTAGGAATTCAGGTGTGAAGGATTCAGCAGGAAGGCTTATGGAAGGGAAAGCCTTTCCTTTTCCTTAACTTTTCCAAGTGGAATCTGGCTATTCCCATTCTCTTACCTGCAGAGGCAAACCCACCAATATCCAAGTAGTCTGGGCAGGATTACTTGCACTGACACGGAGAAAAAGAGATGCCATCTACTGCATTCCCATTACGTCTGCTGTGTTCCTCTTGAATGGTGACAGGGAACTGGGGTTTTAATAGGTCTTTTATTACCCTTTTGAAGCCAGCAGTTATTATGGCAAGGAGAAGCTTGTTTACTTCACCTTCCCTCCATCATAGGCATTTATTTGCTCATTTTGGCTATCTTACAGCAGCCGCCTGTTTTCCTGCTAGGAAAGAGATAGGAGAAACGAGGTGTGATTTATACAGTTCTCTTTGCCCATCCTCCTGAAGCACAGGTCTTCATCTGTGCTGTGCCATTGATGCAGCGAATACTGTCCTTGGTGTTGGCCAGCGTAACTGCACTCAGCTCTATCCTTGGGTGCCAGTTGTTAAACGGTTGCTTATGGCTTCTTGTGGTGCTTTCACAGAACCACATCTACATTCCCACCTCTCTGTCACCTGCGGCGTGGTACCTATTGCAAGGCTGCAAGGGTGAAAAGGGAGCACCAGGAAATGCTTTGGAACTCCTAAAAATAGACTAGTCGGAAGAGAGGAAGGATGTGGGAGGAGAGGGAAGATGCAAGAGAGCCTCTTGGAGCTTTTTGTTGGACTTATGAGCATTAAAAGCAAGAGATGAGAGCACCTACTCAGGTCTGCAGCATCATTTCCGTGTGTTCCAGTGTGAGTCACTCTGTGCCCTCAGCTTTAGGGACAAGTGAATCAGTGCTGCTAAAAAACCCCACAACACAAATACCCTGGGCCCTACTCAGTGCGACAGCTTGGAACCAGCTGCCTTTGGGAACCCAGCAAGTCCAACTGATGTTAGATAAGTTTCTTCTCAACTTCTCGGAGTGCTTCTGGGTTTCACGTTACTGAGGAAGATTTAAAGCGCTCCTAAAAGGTCAGTTCTCATTCAGATAGTTCAGGCAAGGAGAGCTGGAGTCATTTGCTAAGGGCAAACCTTTGACCACTGCATAAAAGCAGAACTGAAATAGCTTTGTGGAGCGTGAGTTTCGCCTTCAAGCAGCCTGGGCGTATCAGAGCGATTTGATATAAACTTTATCCCAGGGTAACAGAGTTTATCCTTATTGGAGCCGTTCCTGTTGTTCCATTCCTTACTCAGGCTTTATTGGCTGGCGGTGGTGACCAGAGCTAGATGGAAATCTGCTGATGGCTCATAGGAGCCGTCCCAGAACCAGCTGTTGAACTGTGCTTGAAAACCGTGTGTGGAAAGCACATTTAAAAGTCAAATTATAGATTAGTCACACTTGGCTCAACTGCCTTGAGGACCAGAGGGCAGTAAAGCAGAGCAAGTAGCTGTGTGATTGTAGTGCAAGCACGTTAGTTCTGTTTGGTAGGTTGAGGACAGGCGATGTGGTTGGAAGATGGAACTTGGAGCTTGTGCTGTTAGAGTGTCCTGTCCCTACATCCCTTGTCCCTACATCCCTTGTCCCAAGCCCCTCTCCAGGTTTCCTGCAGCCCCTTCAGGCACTGGAGCTGCTCTAAGGTCTCCCCTTAAGGGGCCTTCTTTTCTCCAGGCTGGACCAGCCCGATGCTAGCAGGGTGGTTCAGGAAGTTTCAAGCCCATCAGGGATTGCAGAGGCAAGGTGAAGCTGTTGCCTTCAGTTGGGCTCATGCTGGGGTCCTGTCTTGGTCCTCCTTGGTCCTCCTCAGCACTGGGTCCAATGCTTCTGTGTTGTGTGCTGCTGCCATCCAGAGCCCACTGGGGTGAGGTGCATTTGAAGAAGATGCTTCCACACACGGAAGGTGAAGGCAATAAATAATAAATGCCATGAATTAAGAATGATGCTCCAAAATAGCTTCAGTTTCCAGCGAGAACCGCAAGCTACATCTGGAACAAACCTGTTTTCATTTCACGTTCACTCTTCCCTAGACATGGGCTTCAACGAGAGCAGGGTCTCTTCAAAAGAACCTGCAGGACACTGTTGTTCATAGGTCAGCGTTTCTGTAAGCTCATTCAGTTAGTCTTAAATGACTCTTGATAGTTCTGTAAAAGGAGGTGTCATTCTGGCTCTGGCTGTTACAGTGATCTACCTCACACGTGAGGACAAGCACAGGTCTGCCATTATTACATGAAGCCTTGTTTCGAGGAGGACTGAGATGATTGGAGCTATATCCCTGGGGATTGCTGTGGGGTTAGACATGGGTGCTTGGAACTAAGGGTGTAGCACTGTGGCCCTCATTTCAGACATCAGCAGTTATCTGAGACACGGCTGTGTTGTCAAGACACAGCAAGGAAAGAGGCCAAGGGAAAGCATCCCAGGAAGGTTTGGGGTAGGTGAACTGCTTGTGCCGTGGGGCATCTTTGTGAGCTCCAGCTTTGGAATGAACCAGCTTCTTGTCAGCAGTGGGTGCTCAGGAGGTGTTTTCTTTCCTGCTTATATTTCAAGTGCTGGTTTTAAGTCAAGCGAGGGGAGGCCGTGCCCTGACCAGTCATGTTCTGCTCTGCTGCTCCTCCCCACCCCATCCCCATGGGAGAAGGGGCACATCCTTGGCTGGCATCGGGCAGCACAAGTCTGTTGAAATCAGTGCCAGTGACCCAAGGGTATTGCCTGGAGTGTTTGCTGTGGCATTACCAGGTTCTACCCGCACAAAGAGGCACTTGTGGCCCACTTGCTGGTTAATCTTAAAGCTCCTGCTTCAGAGCAAGAGAAAGCTCAGCTGCATTAGCAGAGAGCAGGACTGGGTGGTGAGAGCGTGCGTGGGGAATGGGGAGCAGAGGCAAACAAATACCAAGCCAGTGAGTCATGGCTCTTTACTTGAAAGCTCCACGCTGCCCCTGGAGCGATGTTCCAGCTCACATCCAGACTGCAGATCACTACCTGTGTGAACTCGTGCATTACTCACCCGTCATGTGTCCGGCCAAGTCGTGCCAGGCTCCCTTGTCTGAAGTGTTTGTTAACCCCCTCGCCCAGGCTGGAGCCGGACTCCACTTGGACACAAGGGAACTGTGTGGGAAGCCTTGGCCTTCAGGTAGTCTGGGAAGAGCCAGAAGGTCGCTGGCTGTGTTGTAGCTG